AGGTAGTCCTTCACTATGTTGCTGGTATGAATGGCACTGTTGTCATGAACCAGCCTGATAGTGTGGGGGGTTGAAACTGCCATAGGAATTAGCACTTGCTCCAGGATGTCTACATACTGTTCACCAGTGAAACGGCCATTGATCTTGACCAGTTCACCTGGCCCATGTGCCCACATCCACCCACAGAATGACACTAACACCCTACCACTCACTGCACGATGTTGAATGTGTTTCTCATGGTAGCGTGTGTTACGGGGCCGACAGCACTGCCTTGCTTCGGCTCCCACTGACCTGAACACCGTTTCATCGGTAAATATATTCTTCTCTATGTGGAAGGTGTTCCAATGCAAAGCCGAGTCGACACTCCTTGTGAGTAGGTGTCAGCCACCCTTTGTGAGCTGGAATATGGCAGTCGGTCCTGGCTTCATGAAGTCGGCGTCTCGTCGTCATGTGATGGCAGTTGAGGCCCAGATTTCCTGTATGCTCCACTGATGTTCGCATTGGATATGCTGTTGCAGTTACCACGATCATGGTGTCCATCCTTGCCGACGTTACTCGTGGCCTCCCGCTTCGAGGTTTCGTCTCTACCGAGCCCTCTTCCTCCAACCGGCGGATCCACCTCCTAATCGTCTTTGTGCTCCTCCCCACTTCGAGAGCAATGTTCAGCACAGTTGCCCCTGCTCTCCACATCCCGATGATTTGGCCTCGCTCAGCAATCACTGCCGACGAATTTGCTCGTCCTGCAAGCATATCTGAAATGGCAGGGTAATATTATGTTGTGGTAACTGATGCAGGCTTTTATATACTAGAGTAAATATATGGTATTAGTAACACCTAGGTTAAGTATTATTACTCTGACATAACGTTTTGGTAAATCTTTTTGGATCAACTGCCCAAGAAACCTTTCCTATTTCATGTATTCATAGTGAAATTCAAGTGGATCCACCACCACCCCTGCGACTGTAGAGTGAACATTCGCCGATAATCATCATCAAGATTTAGTTTAACCAGACCACTGACACCCATTTGAGTCTCTCCTAGGGCTGGCCAGAGGGATTAGTTAACATTTATTTGCATTTCTATAATTTAGTGTTATATTGTTTGGAGGAGATTACAGTATTTCCAAAAGGTAAAAACTGAACTTAGGGAAAATTTTGGGGTCTGCTAAAATATCTTACATTGTAGGGTTAGTGAAGCACTCTGTTAGATACCGATTATAAATAGGGCATTCAATGAGAATATGTTGGACTGTTATTTGTGTTCGGCAGTTGAGCATATAGGTGGGGCTCCATTTGGGGAAGACACGAGTTGGCCATGCGTCAATCGCGTATGGCCAATTCTTAGACGATTCAGAATAGTTTCGTGATGTTGAGAGGATTGTTTTGATGATGACCAAGGATAGACTGATGATTTGATCATTTTAACTTGTTGGTTCATTTTCCCAGGACTTTTGTCAATCGTCAAATATTAATTGTTTATAGGTAGTTAGCTTCGCCGATAATCAAAATATATGCTTTACATATTTCTTTGACAATTTTCAGCTATGACATGTTCGTCCCAGATTACATATAACTGTAATAGGTCACATTACGTAAGGGTTCGTTATATAAAAACGTTTTTCTTCATGTTCATTGAGTCGTTCTGAATTCCATTTCTGCTCAAAATACTACATTACCTAACCCAAACTCCCAGGTTGCAACTGGGGGTGTAACATAACCGAGTAAGGTAACGTGCGGCAAATATGACCACCAAACGCATAGCACATCAAACACCATATTTTTATGGTGAAGTTAACTAAGGAGCTCATATAACAACTGTCATATAATTATAGTAGGGTGTCCAACTAATTACAGCAGATATTTGTAGAGGTGAAAGAATATGTGATTCTGAGTATAAAACTTCAATACATATATGGATTTTTCGGTTTACGTTTAGCCGTGAGGTGGATTTTACAAATTACGCAAGGCAACCATTACAAATGGCGGAGTCGAGGCGGGAGACACAGATAGAGATAGCGAAATATAGGAAAGGGGGAAGAAGGTTTAGTAGTGAAAGAATGTGGGTTAAACGGAACAGACTTTTAGGGGGAGAGAAAGTGTGTGGCCTTCTGCCCACTGCATGGTATTGGGTGGTAGGTTGGGGTGACTGAGGCGATGGGAGGGCGGAAAGGATGTGGAGAAAAGAAGGGGAAAGGAAATGGAGGGCCCATCTCTATTTGGGTGGGGTGCACCTCATCTTTAATTTGTTTGGAGGGCCCAGTCATTATTTTTTCTGAGTAGGGTTACACTTTTTATTATAGATAGAGGGAAACGGATGGAGATAGAGACGTGGTGGTTATGATTTTAGGTTGGGGTAGGGGGTTGGCCATGGGTGTTGCTTGCTTTTCCACATATCTTAATCAGGCTCAAGTTACGTGGGATTGACCTTTGTTGCAAAGGTTTTAACTCTAAATACAAGGGGGAGGAGCCACGTCGTCGGTTCTATGACTGTTCATTACAGTAGTTCAAATCATCGCCATAGGTAGAATAGGGGGAGGGGGGTTGGGGAATGCAGGGTAAGGTAATGTGATGGGATGGAATGTTCGATTGACGTTAGTCTTGGGGGAGGGATGAAGGGAAGAGGTGGGGGAGGGAGGAGTGGAGTGGGGGGATGGTGGAGGGGGAGTGTGGGGAGAGAATAAGTAGACGATTAGTGTTTAGGTGTGGTAACCCACGATGCTCAAATTATGAGGTTTAATAGTTGGGTGGGGGGGGGAAGGGAGGGAGGCTAGGCGCGGAGTTGGAACTCGTGAACGTATGATGTTGTTTAATGCAAGTTATGGAACATTACAAAATCTTCAAACGGGTTTTCACGCTATTAATAGGCCTTATGTAATCCACCAATAAGGATTACAACAGCACACAGTATGGCTGCAATTGGCAAGGAAAATAAAATATAACATGGCAAAATTTTTGCCCTGAGTAATTTTTACAACCCACCTCACGCCTAAAGAATAAAGAAAAATGCTTATGTGTATAGAAGATTTTCAACTCAATATCACATATTCTTTCACCTCTACAAATATCTGCTGTCACTCATGGGACACCCTGCAATAGTATAAGGACGACATGGGCTATGGTGACAAATTAATGTGACTTACCTGTTGGTGACGACGATGGTAGGAATGAGACCTCGGCATGTTTCAGTGTTCGACATCACCTCCTTCCCCTGGTGTGGGTGGCTCCAACCCTGGTAACAACTTGTGTATCCTCCGTGACTACCATTAATGGTAGTCACGGAGAATTAATTACTGGTGTGCCCATCAGTCGCACCGTCGTAGCCATGAACGGCAGAGATATGGTCGTTGTGGTGCTTTTATTTACCCGTTACACATCTCTCACCATGCTTAATAATATTAACGATCTTCATGACATTCTTGTTGTTATCAGTGATTGCGGAATTCACGATGATATGCTCCACCTACACACAGCCTGTTACTAGACTTACCCCCACCTCCTCTACTCCCCCCCCCACACTACAGTGGGCGACATCTGTTGGCCGACCATAGCATTTACCCCCAGTTGTTTCGAAACTTCAGACTCAAGGCAATTCGAACCCTCACTGTGGCTGGGTAGTGGACACGACTTTGGTGCACGATAGTACTGCGCACGTTAGGCGGGTAAAACTGCATAACAAACTCATATCTTTTAAGGTAGTACTGTGGGGTATGGGATGTTTGGGTTCACACTCAGGATGGGATGGAGAAAGGAAATTCACAATGTGCTCACTGTATACATATTGTATTGGATGTACAATGCAGCTTGGTGCTGGGAAGTGGCAGCGTGGTTACAAGCGTGATGTAGAGAGAGCTGGTTGGTGAGGGTGCTCAGAGGAGGACAGCTTGTGGGTCGCTATGGTCGCCGGCGGGAGCGAGGGCCGCCAGGCAGCGGCGGAGGAGGTGGTGTTGCTTGCTGCCGCTGTAGCTTGAAGAAGAGAGAGGTCACCACGAGGTCAGGTCTTAAATAGCGGGGGTAGGCGTGGCTTATTAGTTGACCTCCGTGATGTATGGCGGCGCTGGTTGACCCAGACCACAAGGCATACACTGGGGAATTCGTGGGGTCGGCTACTCTGCGACAAACAGCGTTTGTTGGGGAGACATCCACTACAGTACCTACGTTTTCTATGGTGTAGCGTCACAGAAAATGGTAAACATTTCGAAGGAATAGTTCGTACACAGGTATTATGTTTTGTATGAATTATATCAGTGTCCGTACATATATTCTTACGGTTACAGTTATTCATATTATTACACTATTAAGTGATAATTGGGCCTTCCCAACCATCATATACTGTAGGTACCTTGAATTCTCCCTTAATGTTATTTATATTTATATCCACCACTTATCTTAAGACTTTCATTGATCAGAGTTAGTAACAACCCATCTTTAGAAACTAAGATTTCTTCTTAATTTTGCCAAGTGTGTATTAAGTTACTAGTTGCTCTTGAACTAATGGTCTTGGTCTTAGGGGCGTATTTTTCGATCAAATATTTATTTTACTCTATAATTTTCCAGCAAGTATCCACATCTTTATTGTTCAACAATGCAGAAATTATCTTTCAAAGTTTCTACAAAGAGTTGCAACAGGATTATTTAGGTCATTCGGTGTACTTTCATTGTTCCAATCGACGTCACAAAGGAGACGACTAAAGTTGAGCACGTTGTGTAGTCTTAATTTTGTTTACATAACTTTTAATAAGATTTGATAATTAGTACAAGGTGATGGTTACGAAATGTCTAACGAGTCGGTGTACAGGTACAGGTTAAACTTCACCCTATTTGAGGGTACACCTTGGATGCTCATCAGCTAACCCGCCGGGTATCTCATTCCTTTACGATAGTCATTGATATTTTCAAGAGATCATTAATTAATTAATTAATAGTATCAAAAGAAGACTGGGGTAATATTAATAGAAATATCTGATTAATGTCATAAGGCAGTAATTAGTTTAAGTCAGTTGTTGCTGTAAACAAACCATTTGTTGATCAGCTGGAGGACAGACCCAATGGTGTACCAGAGTCTATGTTAAAGCTTTGGGACAGATAGAAGAACTTGTCATTCTAACCAGCCAACATTTGAAGTAATCGTTTGAGGATACTCTCCATGGGAGCTGTACACACTGAGAGGCACCAGTAGTGTTATAATGGCTTCTGTTCCTCCATCAAACACTCGTCATGACCACACTTTAGCAGACGTCCTTGCTCAGGAAGGCAATTCTCTCCCTTCTTTCCTCAATACTGTGTTTGGATTTTTATCTCGACATTGTCCGTAAGTCACATTTGTGGGTTAACGTGTGTATTAATGCTGCCAACGACTCTAGCAAGAACACTGCTTTTCCGCCATAAGTTTTGTTGTTAATTGCTAGTGACAGTGTTCTCTTTTGGGGAAGTGTTTCTTTTTTATAATTTATAGTATAATATCGTCGGCGAGCCATGGGAGGGGGAGTGCGTAGTGTGCCCCTAGGGATAAGGGTATAAGGGGCTAGGGGGTTCATGTGACAGCAAAAAACAAACGTAGAGGATATAGGTACGGCAGCCGCATTGACAGACTGTGTTGTTTATGGTTAGGTTAGGTGAATTATAAAGAAGGCCATCTTAGTAACTATAATTGTATAGTCTGCCCACCATGCATGCACTTAAGGTAGTCTTACCAACAGACATAAGCATTTCACATATGGCTGCCGTACCTACTGTATATCCTGTGCCAAAAGCAAAAGTTTCTACTTTTAGAAAATTATCAAAATTACAAAATATTGAAGGTAATTGTTTACATCTCTTGTGCTACTGAACCTGGAACTTGAGGTACAGTAAATGTTTGCAGATTTAAACTAGGCATAACGTGACTCTTTCCACCATATTCTTGTTGGTTGCTGGCATTGGATCCACAGGTCACTCTGAATTGGTCCTAATATGTAATTGAAGATTTGTTATGAAAACTCATTTTATTGCAGAGCCAGTAACAAACAACTCAAATCCCACCTCCCTCCTAGGGATGTTTGTGGGGTGAGTGAGTTGTTACTAAAATTTGGTTTATAACTTTGCCAAAGGAGTTGTGACCTGTGCAGTGGACTGGAAAGCATGAGCTGCATGGCATTGTGACTTATCACACTCCCCATGACTTATGGTAAACCATGACCTTTCTTACCTTTCATTTTGAACAGCTGTTGTTACAAGGGGGTAAATGATCTTAGGATTACCTCCTGTTGCTGTTGTCTAGGGGTGTTATTGAAGAAATCACTACCCTCAGAGAGGGTATTTAATGATACGAATCTTAGATCATTTTCCTCTTCAATTTAAGAATATTGTTTGCAACATTTGTGCTATATTTGCAGAGAAGAAATATATGGCAATACTCACATCTCGGGGCAACACCTCATTAGTCAGTCATACTGCAAATGGCGACAGAAGTACCTGGAAGAGAAAGCACAGCAGTATTTACAGCCCCAAAACTGGTGAGTTTCACAAAAGGTAGGAGAGGGTGTTTTTTCTTGTTTTACGTCATTTTGTCGCCTAAAGTGCATACTGTATATGAAATTGTACTTATGGGTAAAAACTCCTGACCTGAATTCTCTTAGGTTTAGCAACCTGTAGATATAGCTGAAGCTAGATTTGTTGGATGAGAAAAATGTTTTTCCCTTGGCTAATATTAAAACATTAATCACATGGATAGTTTGTCCTACCATCAACCATATATGCCCCTTACATGATAACAGACCCTGGCTTAAGGGTTCTTCCGAATTTAAATCTCATAAGTCACCTTCAGCCACAAAATGGGCTTTTGTAACTCAGTCTTCCATTTGTGGCTGAAGAGAAGAGTGGGTGACCTACATTCACACCCACCTCCCTAAAGTGAAGTTCTGAATCTGCAGGGAACTGAGAGTTGGGTCATTATTTCTCCACATTGTTCATTTGGCTTATGATGCAATTTAGCTTGACCTCAGTCACCACATGTCTGTGAGATAACTGAGGATCTACATCTGAATCTGAATTTGTCATGGTGAGAAGGGTAATTTGTATCATAACTTGTTGTCCTTCCATTAAGCATTGTTTAGGGGAGATTTGTTCTTGCAATCTACTCAGTTGTCTCCTCAGCCACTAAAAAAGATTTCTGGCCTTAATGCTCCAACTGTTTCCTCTGTTGAAAGTTCAAGGGACACAACAGGGCCATGTCCACCTCAATGTAACACATATGGTTTCTGCTCGTAAACTTCCCATAGACTCAAAGGACTGATGTAGATTTTGCTCTGAAAATTTATGACAATTTTCAGTCAGGGAATGTATTATTTTAATGTCTCCTGTGTTACTCTACAGCCACTCTGTAATCCCTCTCTTGGGTTATTTTGTTAATTTTTCTAGTTTACTGCAGTATATTTTCTTAATTTTTCTTTTCTTTTCTTGTTCTTCTTATTATTATTGTTTTATTTTTTAGTGAAGAAAATGTGGTTCCACCAGCTGTTGCTGAGGAAATTGTTATAGCCCATGATGAAGTGACTGGTGATCATCTCTCAGGTACACCGGCAGCAGTCATCACCACAGAAGCTACATTAGGAAATACTACACCATCTGCATCAAGTTCATCAAGGTGTGTCTTTTAAAATAAATTGTCATCTTTTATTATGCGAGATTTTGTACTAGTACAGTGTATGATTCCAATGTAAAAGTAATGTAAAAGTACAGTAACTCTTAATTTTTGAAGACTTATAACCAGTAAACTGACATGTACTAAAGAGAATAAATAAGTTCAGGCCTGTGAGAATAAGATTTTTGATAGATGTACAGTCACCCATAAAAGTCCTGATGCCTCTCCTGCTGTTCCACGAACACAGAGATTCACACTCATGAATTGGACGCAGTAAACACTGATGTATTATTCTGCCCATAAATGCTTTGGATTCACGAGTCTGAATCTCAGGGTTCGTGGTTCAGGAGGAGAGGGAACAGGACTTTTGTGGGTGACTGTACTGTACTGTACCTGTAATGTAACAATGTGGAAAAAATTGCAGGTATTTACACAAACATCCTACTTACAAGAACCAAATTTTTTCATACACCGATTTATTTTTGCTACCCAGATTTCATACATACAAGGTTAAAGTTGACATGTACACAGATGCACATCAGGCCTAAACATATCATTTGTTGATGGCTAATCATAAGGTTACTTGTCCAACCACACCAATCCCTAGACAACCTAAAATTTCATTAAAGATACCTGTACAGTACCTGGTTTCAGTTAACTGTACATTGCGTGAGCCAATTGTCTTTTGGATCCATCATAAACTAGGATATGAGGATCAATCCACTATGTTTCATTTATTCTTAGAACAGGTCAGACACTGGTAACATCTTTCATGTTGAAATATTCCAGTTGTGCCAAATGATTTGTATTTTGTTTATTTATCTTTTGAACTATTTAAATATTCCACAGGAAATCCAGTAAATCCACCAAAGAAAATAATCTTTATGATTCAACTAATGGTGCGGTGAAAGACTCCTATGCATGGACACAAACAATTGAAGATTTGGAAGTGAGAATCCCTGTACCAGAGAAAGTGTTAAGAGGAAAGCAGGTAACTCAGATTATTCTATTGTATTTCTTTTATAAATGTTGCAGGTGTTCAGAATCAAGAGCAAATAGACACTCGTTTGACTCACCTTCATCCATTATTGCTGTATCATCCCACAAACCACTCAAAACAATACTCTTTTATTCTAGTGCAGAAATACATCGCTTTACCAGACTAATTACAGTAGTTCATAAAATAGACTCAAACAATGGAAATTATACCCTCTCAAAGTATAATTTTTATATAAGATATACCCTACAGCGGTATTAACCCCTTCATTATGGGGATGCCACTGTTGATATTTTATTTGGCTAACACCATATGATTTTATTCAGTACAGAGGGGACCCCATAACACAAGGGATTAAATGTTCATAATCATTTAATGTTACAGTAAACCCTCGATAACTCAGCACATATGGGGCTCTGGCCTTGCTGAGTTTCCCAAATTCAAACTTATCGAGGCACTTTACCCCCCTCCTAAAAAAATTAAATAATTATTGACCTGTATATTTGTACATGTAATTACTAAATGTAAAAAAATAACACTTACCAGCACTGCAGGTGAAGAATGGAGCATCATAGTAGGTTGTACAGATGCATGGTAGGTGACAGAGGTATGGTAGGTGACACAGAGGCATGGTAGGTGACACAGGTGGCCAGATAGTATGCTGAGATTTTCCCAGATAATTTTATATATCTCGGCATTTCCAGAGTTATATGAAATTCCGAGTTATCAAATGCTGAGTTATCGAGGGTTTACTGTAATATGGGGACTGTACACTAACTAACTGTACTGAAAACTAGATGGATCAAATCTTTTACCCCATTAACATGTGTACAATACTCTTCCTTGGGCAGTCAAGTGGTCTCACAGATAAGACTGGCGAGGTGATCACTTGAGATTTAGAAGCACCTATAAGTAGCTACCTTGTATCGTGGGAATGAAGCTTCAATGCTTCCTTTGCATCAAATTTTTAGAATACACCTTGGTAACATGACTACCTTCAAGCACAGTTCTTTTTTTTTTACGGGTATTAGCCCATCCGGGCACAGGTCACTGACCCACATCAGTGCCTGGGGGGGGAATATAATAATGATAATGATAATAATAATAATAATAATAATAATAATAATAATAATAATAATAATAATAATAATAATGACCATAAATAAATACAAAAATTTAAAAATAAATCAAGAGTGTGAAATGATATACTGTATAGTATGTACCGGGTATGTTGTGTTGTCAATAGTAAGAGAAACAATTGAGACCCTGCAATTGTGTGTAAATGAGGCAGAAAGTCAGATCAGCAACCTGGGACTTGGTCACAATTTTTGTGATGCCATATGGCAGTAGGGTCTACCATCAGACAAAACATTATGCTTCCAATATCTTCCAAGGCGGTAGTACCTCTGTGTTTGATAGCTGCCTACTACCTCCTATCTACTAGCTGCTTACTACCTATTACTATGGTACAGTACAGGCAGCTCTTATTTATTGCAAGGGTTCCATTCTTGAAAACCCCTGCAGTGTTTGAAATTGTAATATGTGAAGCAATTCTTCCCACAAGCAAATACCCGGTATTTGTTAAAGGAGTACATTCCTAGCTAGGAATTTTAGGGGTATTTAGGCTTTTTTTTCATATGGAAACACTTCTAAATCAATAAAAATATTCCTTCCTGGAAATTTTTTCTCAGTTCTAAGTCCAACATTTCTGAACAAAACCTTTACTGCATTCCTCGTCTCTGACGTCTAAAGAGTTCAACCCTGGTGTACAGCCTAAGACTCACGGCTGTCATTCAAGGGTCATTTTGGGAAGAGCATTGGCTATTAATATTATTTTAGTCTATAATAATTATACAGTACTGTATACACATAATGCACAACTCATAAAAAAAAAATTTAACACTGCAAATACGCTGTTCACTCGGTCCACTATCATACAACAAGAAATCTTCACCATCAGCTGTCATCTTATACTCAGATGGAATGACCAAGTCAGCGAGGTTTAATGGAATGACATGAGGGGCACCAACAGCTTGTTTGTAGCGTCTTATTGCACTTCAAATATCTCTTACAGGTGGTACAGTAAGTCCTCGTATAACATCGGCCCACTTAACGTTGATTCGGTACTACATCGCTAATTTTTAGATACCCAAAATTCGCTTAACATCCCGACGACTCAATATAACGTCGTTTTTGCATTGTCACAGACTACTTTTTACAGCGCATCACCCTCTCTCGGTGCGCTACCTCTAACTCGCGGAACGTTACAGCGTCCCCAACCAACGCCAAGCCAGTCTTTGTTTGGCTTCCACAGCATTCTTACGTGTTTAAGTGTTTTTGCTCTTAATCCTGTACTCTAACCATACACAGTGCTGGATTTAGACCTGTGGAGGCCCATGGGCAGCCTCTTTGTGGAGGACCCCTCATTATAACTACCCAAGAGGGTGGGGTGGCGAGTGAAGTGAGCCTAAACATCTGGGAGTTCCGGGGGGCGCTGTAAGCCCCCCGGGAAAATTTTGATATTTGAACACTTCTTTGGAGAATTTTTAAGCCGTATGCAGTTATATTGAGGAAATTAGAACATTGAGAAATTTTTAATTAACTGTATATTTATTGATAGTGTACAAATTCCCAACACACACACAAAAGTGAGACATGACTGGAGTCATTCATGTGGTTTCAAGTCGACCAGCCCTGATATAGCAACTACCGCACATGGCAAAAATTTTCAAGAGACTTCACAGAAAAGAATATATTATTAGTTATTACAGAGAGATGATTCTTTGCATTATTAATCAGATAGACCTCTACTCAAATAATGGTTCTGTCCTAGAATGCATGTATAGGCTTCTTTAAGTCCAAGGTCAGATAGATTGAGAATAAGTATTAACTTAACTATAAATAGTTGAACATAGTTTTACGTGATGGAATAGTTAAACATGAATTTTAAAGAATGAAAATAAAAATAATCCAAATGAATAAACAAATAAATAAAATATTGTAATATGTGGAGGCCCCTGGACAGCTGCCCACTTTGCCCACTCCTGAATCCGGCCCTGAAATGGCTTCCAAGCACCCATCAAGTGCTACTGATGCTAGTGTTGTGAAGAAGCAACGTAAGACCATTACCCTTGCTACGAAAATGGAGGAGTCTCAGTGACTCGCCACCCTCCTCCTCTCCTGCCATCCTCCTCCTCTCCACTACCCACCACACACTCGCTCCACCACCTCCCCCCATCAGTGAGTAACAATGCAAAATGACTTACGATGGGGTGAGGGACCCAAATGCAGGTTGTAAGCCGAATTGGTCGTAAGTCGAAAATGCAAAGATAATACTTAGACAATCTAAAGTGGGTGTCTCCTTTTCTTCTCAACACCACAAAACTCTCACTTTTAAGCTTGCCAGCCATTTTAAAGGGAATTACAAACGAAAATTTTGTCAGTACACAGCGCAATCACTAACGTTGGGACTCGAAAATACGTAATTTGAAAAAAATTTGGCAAGACTGGGGCAGTTGTATGTCCGAGTGGTCGTAAGTCGAGTAGGTCGTAAGTCGAGGAGTGACTGTATATATATATATATATCTTGATATATATATGTATATATATACTATTTTCAATAAAATTGCCTTTGAATTTCTGTTTATGTAATGTATTTCATGGGTCAAAGGGAGGCTGGGGAACATAACGACCGTATTCTATCTATTTCTTATGGGTAAAATTGATTTGTTTAACGTTGTTTCGTATAACATTGCATTTTGAGGAACGTAACCTGGACGTTAAGCGAGGACTTACTGTAGAGACACCTTCTGGGTAATAATTTGCTGTGTGGTCTCTTGGGTGCTAATAGCTTTCATCTGCCTGACGGACAGTACTTTGATCAGCTATACATAAGATTCACTCGAGCCTGGGGGGCAATTGGCCCATGGGGGCAGTTGGGCAATTGTCCCATGGGGGCAGTTGTCCTAGAACCAGTATACTGTAATATGTTGTTGTTATCATATTTTGTACATGAATCAAAATTCATATATCTTTATTTAAACTTGGTTTAATTCATGAATTGCCTTCAAAGGTTCGAGTGACCCTGCAGACATCATCCTTTGAAGTGGAGGTGCAAGAACCGGCCTCAGTGTGGCAGATGCTTCTTACAGGCAAATTTCCTCACAGCATTAAGGTTGAAGAATCTTTGTGGTCTCTGGTGCCTGGTGAACACATATCGGTAATACACTCATGATATGTTCTGCTTTTATGACCTTACTCCATTTTCAGTTAGCATTATATAGGTTGGGGCACACATGTTAAACTTTATTTGGAAAAGAATTAATATTTAAATAACTGTCTGCTTTATACTATTCATTTACTGTCTATCCTTGTGGGATGTAACAACAAAAAGATTTTCATAGTGCTTGAATAATGTATTACAGCTAGTCTCTGCTTACTAAGTAAATTCATTGGAGGAAACCTAAGCATTATGTAAAACACAAAGTAAAATTCAAAACTTACTTTAGAAATTGTTAATTGAACATACAGTATATCAGGCCAACATATGTTAGTGAATAGTTAACCTTCAACAGAAAAGATAAATCTAGTGGAAGCAAGTGATGAGAGGTTACTGAGAGGTATGGAGAAGGGAAAGAAAGTGTATACAGTTAGGAATTAGGAACTTAGAAGCTGAACTGTATTGAGAGGGTGATCAGGTATCAAAATTGTTATCCTTTCCTCCTATTCAAGTTCATTAAATACAATAAGTTATTTTTATTACTGCAAAAGTAGGACATATTAGGAAGAACAGTTTGACATACACTTAACTTAAGAAATGCTCACATCTATCTTTAAGCTGCATTTTGTTGCAATGTTTTCTTTAAAAAAGACACTTCATCTGAGAAGTGAGGGGTACCTGTAACTAAACAGGCTATTGCATTTGATATAGTTTTATGTGATCAATTTTAAAATAATCACAGTCATTTTGACTTAACACGCTCCCAACAATTTTAACAGGCATTGGACTTAGTGCTAATTTCCACGTTTCCTTACGTCTTAATTTTTTTTCTATCCAACTCAAAAATATGTGTTAATATAACACTGTTCCTGCAGATTCACCTAGAAAAGAGTGAAGAACGTTGGTGGGATAAACTCTTAACATCAGAAGATTCCATAGACTTGAAGAAGATAAATGCCGAGCGCGACTATGCTTCCTTACCTCAAGAAGACCGACAGAAAATTCAAGAATTTTTATGGAATAAGCAACAGCAAGACCAAGGCAAACCAACTTCTGACCATCTGGTAAAGAATTGCTTTAGTCAGCTTAAAGTTACACTTGCACAACAAGCTTAAATATTCTCCTAAAATTTTTTGTCAATTTTGTTTTTGCGCTCTATCATTGGAGAGAGGGAGTGCAGCGGTCTAGTGGATACAGCACTTGCCTCCTGTTCCTTGGTCGGTAGTTCAATTCCTAAGTATTCCCAGTTCACCTAGCTGTAAATGTGGTAAAGTGCAGTACCGGCCATGCTGCCTCCTTGTGTACTGAAGGCTTAGTATGCAGTATGTCGTATTCACAATGTCCCTAACAAGCAATCATGCCTTTGGGACCCACTTTTATTTTTCATTTGAGAGAATGCGGCATTATTTGGTCATAATTATATGTCATAAAATTATTTAAAAAAAAAAAGTTTGAGTGTGTAGCTGGCTTAACTTGTAAGGTCAAGAGAACTTAATGGATCAACTTTTGTGATGTTAGAGGAGTAGCCAAAACTTAGTTCATGAATTTTATTTATTTTTTTAACTTTAAAGGATGAAACCATTTATCCCCAAAGTATGTACTGTATATGAATGGATCAATAGAGTACTTTTGTTATGAGGATATTCTTAAAATGGATACAAAGAAGGCATATCCATTAGCTGTATTATCTCCTTTTCACTGGTCAGCTGTTTGAATATGTATCTGTCTAGAAGTGATTTAATTATATTTTATTCCATTCTTTCTCACAGAAAATGGAATCAGTGCTTCGTGAGGCATGGAATGCTGAAGGTTCTCCATTTCAAGGTCAGCCATTTGATCCTTCAATAGTGAACTTTACTACTGGGGCTGGTGTGGGAGATAGGGTAGCTTGATTAAGAAACCTTTCACATACATGTATATTATTGTTAGTAACAAATGTCACTTAAATGACATTATGATAATGGCTACATTGTTATTTATAGTTATATAAATTTCTTGAATAAGAATAAAGTTGTTTATGTAAAAAGTATTTTATTTAGCCTCTCTTGTACTGAGTATTGTATTTGTTATTGATGTTGTGATCTTTTACAGTCTATTGGTCACTTAAAGTGACCATTAAAATCACCCTATCAGAATGCCCTCTGGTATACGCTCCGAGTGGCTAAAACATTTTTACGTCAATGGCGTGAGAAAACCCTGAGAGCTAAGCTTTTTCATTCTATCTCATACCCAGTGTATATTCTTAAGCATCTCATTAGCCAGGTCTACCTGGCCTTGTGAGCCATCCAATCTTAACCATTTTTAGCCTTGTCAATCATCTCACATACAGCAAGTCTGGTCTTTACTTGCCATCCCATCTTGTCTGAACCCTTCTTCCTTTACCTTTTCATATAAGCACATTTTACTGCCCTCTTTACTTTCTTACCATTTACACCCACTGCTATGGCACAGTCTACAGCAGTATGCCAATAACACCATACTGGAATTACTACAAATACACACACACACTCACTGTATTTCAGCGAACTGTCTCTCAAGTTTATATTTGAACATCCAAGTGGAAGAATACTGGATGGGAAATGTGAAACAAAACTTATGTACAAGTTGCTAATTATTTATTAACTTCGAATTTATGAAAGAAGTTTACTGTATTGAAGATTGGTGAATTTAATGAGTACAGAAGTATAGAGTGTGTATATTTAGTGAGAAATTATCACCATATAGTATTTGTATTATTATTTTTGTACAGTATATTAATGAGAATTAGAAAAGATTTTATTTTATTTATATTTTTTTTTTGGGGGGGTCATAAAAGTATTGAAGGAACCACAGATTCTCAGTAGTCTGTTTAAAACGATCATGACTACAGTATCGTAATAGAATAGAAACAATAAAAATACATGAACTTCAAACACAGTATATAAACAAAATCATCACACATGACAAGTACTGTACACTACGATGCATGTGATGTAAAGACTCTTGAATGCAATCTATAAGACTGTTGACGTCTTCAATATCCACACACTATCAACATCTTCAATATTCACATACTATACACATCTAATACTAGAGGAACTAAATTGCTTCTTTTCATTATTAATGGTGAACTAATCTGAACAAGAATACATACATGTTTTGTCTTCAGTGACCTGAACAAAATTGCAGTTTGCAATGAATTGTGTGTGTGTGTTTTCTGTCCAGGAACTGCACAGTTGGACTGATAATTAGAACTGAGCGTATATGGGGAACTTTAAACGAAGATGAAACATAAAAACATCAGAATGGAGATAACTGGAGCTGATTTATTAGTCTATTCTGGGTGAATCTGAAGAGGTAAAAAAACGTGAAGAACAAAGCTGAAGGAGGAGATTAGTGAAAAAATAGACAGATTGATGTGGGAAGAAACGTTGTAACATATTTTTTTATTATTTTTAAGTATAGTTGAAGAGGACGAAAACCGCGAAGAAAGAGGTGAACAAGAAAGGGGAGATAGAAAAATGTTGAAAGAAGTGGGTGGTACTGTGCTAACCACTAGTGGGCCTCCAGTCCAGACTTCTGAGCAGATAAAAATTATTGCGTCGGCCAGACGTAAGGTAACTCAGAGGAAGGAACTATTACTCCCGCATATCAGTGTAGATCCCTTGGAGTAAGTTGCTTTAAATGTAGGTGGCGTTGATCTGTCTGAGTCATCTGCTTGTCAGCTGTTTGTTTACATTTGGGAAGAAGACTGCGGCATGGTCAACCTGTCAAATGTACTAAACTGGCTTCGGAGACAGGTACCCATGGCTGTATCGTGTGGTGAAGGAAAAAAGAATTACAGCCATCTGAAATTCCACTGGTTTCCCCAAGATAAAAAAAGATAAGTTAATAGAACAGTGAACCCTCACTTTACGAGGTCAATTGAACCCACGGCGGCCCGCGTAATGTGAACAACATAACATATGGGATTAATTGAAATAGAGACCGGGCCGACCCCCAAACTCCACTTTTTCAGACACAATACCTACGTTGTAGTAAAAATAACTTCTTAATTTTATGATGGTATGCACACACAATTAATAATTAAGAGAAATATCAATAATATTAGGTTTTTTAACACTTACATTAGTAGAAAAGATGGCTGGGCACACAGGGATGGGGGGTTGGTTCCGAGGCAGAGGGCAGATTATTGGCCCTCACCTGTATCACTTGTATCAATTGTATCACTATCCACCACAGAAGCTTGCAGGGCCTCCTTGTCAAACCCCTCAAAGTCCATATAAGTCCATATCCTCACTATCATTATCACTATCACTGACTTGGGCCGGCTGTGGTGGGTGGCGGGTGAAGAACTCGGTAATGTTTTGATGACTGGGCGACCTTGTGCACACCTTGCTCGCGCCGCTCTCCGCGTAAAAGGGTACACACACCGTGGAAAGTGAGCATTCCGTGTTCGGCAGGGTACCGCGTAAACGTGGAAACGTGTAAAGTGGGACCGCGTAAAGCGAGGGTTGACTGTACAGTGGAATGTTGCTCGTTGAAATGAAGTTATATTGTAGTGGAGCCTCTCTCCTACAACTGACGACTAAGCTCCGGCCGCGCGCCTACCAGCCAATCAGCGTACAGCCAGCGATGCCGGTAGACCTACTCCCCAGTGCAGATGCACACGTATCAACGCCAGAAGAGGCCATAGCTTCCCACGACATGCCAGGATCAGAGTACCGGGCACCTCTCGCATTCTCATCTGTGATTGGCTCCCGCGCTACGCTCGCCTTGATTCATGAGGTAACAGAACTGTATAAATACGGGCGTGGCTGGCCAGGGAGACCATTCTACTCTGACCTACTGGACCAGCAAGACCTCTCTACAGCACCTCACCAACCATCTCCCTCAGAAAGCTCCTCGCCCAACAGGACCTCTGAGCAAACTACTCCTCACCTAGTAACTCCTTAGCACTGCACTGTACAACAATATATATACAGAAAACGCATTGTGAGTTTCTATTCTACCTCATTCCTGAGTGTGAGATATCTACATGTACGTACGGTTGTGTGCCCATACAAAGAGACAATAGACAACCAAAGAGAATTGACAACTGGCCACATACAGTACGCTACAATAGTAACCAAATATGACAGGGCTGAAACTACTGTCTAATATATATATATATATATATATATATATATATATATATATATATATATATATATATATATATATATATATATATATATATATATATATATATATATATATATATATATATATAATATTGGCTCAAACCTTAAATACCCTAGATCTTTCATAGAAGAATGCTTTCATAGAAGAATGCCTTACGTTAGTAGGGTCATTACCTAATACCTGACCATTGTGGACCTGGTCTCACCCTCCTCTGTATATATACACCTCGTTTTGCACTTCTCCTTAGTCTGTACTCACCCCTGAAGATGTTGTAGGTATTCGTGGTATAATGTTGTCTAGCACTCAGGATGGATGGAAACTCTAAGGTGGTTTTCTTGTATAATATAAGTTATATGATAGACAGTCTGGTGCTGGAGGTGCCGTGTGGTGAGGAGCTGCTCAGTGGAGACGTTCGGTGAGTAGCGTGTTGAAGGAGGTAGATGTGCAGGAGCTTCGTTAGAGAAGATGTTGCCTGTTGCTGGCCTCCTGGTTGAATGAATGCTGGACAGCGTGGAGCTTGCTGGAGGAGGTGTTGCGTGTTCAAGTAGAATGGCCAGAATGAGAGCTGGTTGGTGAGGAAGCTCAGAGAAGGACAGCTGGTGGGTCGCCATGCTCGCTGGCGGGAGCGAGGACCGCCAGGCAGGCGGAGGAGAAGCGAGGGCCGCCAGGCAGCGGCGGAGGAGGAGGTGTTGCTTGTTCAAGAAGAGAGACCAGAATGAATCTCAATGGAGAGACAGAGCTTATATACCCAGCAGCCGTGAGTCATCTATGAGTCATGTTGGGAAAACCCGAGAAGTAACCGGTCTTTGGCTCGGTTGCTAGGATACGGTAGCATCTGGTGACGCCGCTCGTTTGGTTGCTAGGGAAGGCGTCGCAGGTGGGATGCAGCTACGCAGTTTGTAGGGGAGACGTCCACTACAATGTGAATTACACAAAAGCGCTTGGGAACTTCGTGTTTTCTTCTTTCCTTGTGGTTGTAGTGGACTTCTCCCCTACAACTGCGTATCCGCATTCCAATGCGACAGTTCCCTAGCAACCAAGCGAGCGGCGACAGCAGATGTTACCGTAACCTAGCAACCGAACCAGAGACCGGCGACTTTCTCGAGTTTTCCCAACATGACTCATAGAGGACTCGCGGCTGCTGGGTATATAAGCTCTGTCTCTCCATTGAGATTCATTCTGGTCTCTCTTCTTGAACAAGCAACACCTCCTCCTCCGCCGCTGCCTGGCAGCCCTCGCTTCTCCTCGCCTGCCTGGCGGTCCTCGCTCCCGCCAGCGAGCATGGCGACCCACCAGCTGTCCTTCTCTGAGCTTCCTCACCAACCAGCTCTCATTCTGCCCATCTTCCTGAACACGCAACACCTCCTCCAGCAAGCTCCACACTGTCCAGCTTTCATTCAACCAGGAGGCCAGCAACAGGCAACATCTTCTCTAACGAAGCTCCTGCACATCTACCTCCTTCAACACGCTACTCACCGAACGTCTTCTACTGAGCAGCTCCTCACCACACGGCACCTCCAGCACCAGACTGTCTATCATATAACTTATATATTATACAAGAAAACCACATTAGAGTTTCCTTCCATCCTGAGTGCTAGACAACATTAATATTTCGATACCCCTACAGACTGAAAACACATTTTAAATGATTACCCAAGTAATATAATAAAAAGCTTTCTATGTTGTTTCACACTGGATAGATGGCGGGTCAATCGGAGGCTCCGAAGAAAACACTAGGTTATTAGGGAAGTTAAACTTCCTTGCCACAGGGTGAAGTATGAGTGCACTTTCCTTCTCCACCTCTTGTTGTTCATTAACAGAGACGTGACCGATGGCCCAAGCGGCTAACGAGCCCATCAGTGGTGAAGAGGATAAGAGTAAAAGTTACGAATCACA